GAGATGGAGGAGAAGGGTGAAATATAAGGTGCAAGCTCTTCTTCACACACCTCTGTGACTCTCAGCCATCACCAAAACCAGGTGTATTTTTAAGAACCATTATGTGAAGATGTAGTGGAAATGCAGACAGCAGATTAAGGGAGGGACAAGTAGTACTCATTACAAGTATCCCAAAAATGCCTGTAGGAGGTTTTATGTTGGCCCAAATGTGGTCAGGATCAGGCCGTTAAGGAAAGAAGTCTCTGTCAGCATTTGTTAGCTGCTCCCAATTTTAGATCTTCCACGTCCTTGTCCTTTCCTCCTTCACTTTTTAAGGCTGCTTTTCATCCCAATCCTACTCTACTTCACAGCTGCCATTTCCTGTTGCTGGTATCAGCAGTTCTCAGTCTTTTCAGACAACCCTGCTGTTTGTGCCTAGCTATGTGAGGGAAACAACCCATGCTTTCTGTTCCCTCCTGAAAGTCACTGGAGCTCAAGCTGCAGCAAAGCAAGACCCCTGCTGAGTGCAACCTCTGCCCAAATCCAGCATGTAAGACTGTAAAAACTGGCAATGATTCTGGTCTCAGCACAGGGAAATAGCCAAGATCAAAGTTAGAAGCATGGTTTCTTTATTCTTCCATCAAACTGGCCTTCATTTTTTCTTTCCAGTCCTAGTTATTCTTTTCTGATGTATGTTATCTCTGGGAGTCACTGGGAAGTACTGGATGGATTGGCAACTATTAGGCCTTATGGTTATCCTTGCAGATACTGCTAACTCTGTCACGTCATACAAGAAAGGGAAAGATTCTTCCTCTAAATAAACTCACTACTTTCTGTGCTGTCTTGTGTTTGACTTAAAGAACTGATGACCTTTGCATCCTGTTTCTTATTCCTCCATCTTTGCATGATGAAAATTCCCCGTCCAAATTTCATTTCCCTCATGTATTTTAAATGTCTGAAAGGAAAACAAAAATCTTCTTCAGCTTTATTCTGTACATTTAAATGATGTACTTAACTACTTGTAAAAGAAGCAAAGTTCCCCATTTTTAAAAGTAATAAATAGGTACCACCAAGACTGAGATTATGCCAATGGCACAAAGAACAGAAAAGATTAACTTCAGAATTATTGAAGAAGATCAAAACTTCGCTTTTGTGCTGCTCTCCCTGTAGCATCTTAGTGTATTTTAAGAAATGGTTGAGAGTATTTTTAACCTTAACCTTATTTTCCAATTTTTCAAAGTGGAGTAAAAAATGTTTACCCTAATTGATTTGTTATTTCCTCTAGCCTAGCCTATAAAGTTTCAGAGTTATCTCTCACAGGTGATCTGTAGCTTTTTTAATGGGAGTGAAATACCTGAAGAGCTTACATGCAGGGCAGCAGAACCCAATGGTCTTCATTCACAAAGGGTTAGAAATGGACTTAAAGGGCAGTGGTGTAGATGCCTCCACCCAGGCCAGGGCTCAGAAAGGATAGGTACAAGTGAGTACAAAATTGTTTGCTTTCCTTTTCCCTTGCATTACTGTGGGATACTCACAAACATTTAATTATACGTATTGTATGCAAGCTTAACTTGGAGATATCTGTGGTTCCTTGAAACCATTACACAGGAGCACCATAGAAAATACAAGGGAGTCACTGAAGGAAAATACAAATGAATTAGAAAAGCATAGCAACCAGAGAATACATTTCCCATAATACAACAGTCAAAGGTCATGAGATCACAGATGCTCAGTTGCTCATGCATATCTTCTATTCTCTCCACTTGCATGCTTGCTCCAGGGAGGGCAAAGATTTAATGAGGATGGGGCTAGCTTTAGCAGTTCTCACCCTTCCTCACACCCTGCATCTGAAAGAGCATTGAAAGCCTCTTTGAAGTTGCAGTAGACACACATTGAACTGTCCCAGTGCACACATACAATCTGGGGTTTTCTCATCAGGTACAAAAATACAAGGTGACTGTTCTCTTCCGGCTGCCCTGGATGTGAACAAAGCTGTTGAATCAAAGACTTATTGAATTTAGGAGTGGAAAGAAGTTTCTCCATGGCATCTGTCTTTTCAACCTGCAGCAGTGGCCCTTCTTAGAGTCTCACAGTTTCTATTAGTCAGTTCATTTTTCCTGGCTCTTTAAAAAGAAATCCTGTTCAGACAAAACAGCACACTATTTATAGGAAGCTTGGCAGGGTCAGAAAGTGGCTGTAAACCCGATCTCCAGTTAAAGCATGCAGTATCTGTTCTGATGTAGATACTGTTAGAACTCAGCAATCTCTGATTTGCTAGCAAAGCCTTGAAGATGATTTCAGAGTCAGATTTTTTAAACTTGGTGACACTGTGTTATCACTTGTCATTAGCAGAGCTAACTTACTTGCTCCAAGTCCCACTTAATCTGTCCAGCTCACTACCCACAGCTTCTGACCTACTTAGTCATTTCCTGTCTTTGATTTTTGCCTTAAAGCCTCTTTTCTGTGTTGGCCTGTGGCTGCTACTTAATCTTAATCAAACTTCCTTGGACTTCCATTACTGTCAAGTACAACTCCTCTCACCATAATACCCACCCTTCTGAATGCAAGAAAACTGATTTACAGCCAGCAGTCTGCCTCTTCTCTTATGCTCAAAGTTCATCTTTGCTTTGTTTTTCTTCCTGTATGAGTCACTCCTTCCCCCTCACTGAGACACTGTACTATACTTTCTGTTCCCCTCAGTCTGTCAGTGGCTGAGAAGCTGCTGTGCACGCCTTTACTGCAAAGATCTGGTGAGTATTATCGTGTGTGCCCCACTGCCATTTGCAGATTTGGAAAAAGCTGAACACAAAGAAATTGAGTTGGCCACAGGCTTCTACAGAAAGTCATCTAGTTTAATATGCTTTTGCCTCTGACCAGAAATGATGACCTACTCTGTTCCCTTACGCTTTTCTTAAGAGCTACTTATGCAAAACACAGCTGTTTCGTCTACTCTCCCAAGCCTAGCATCTCACCTCCTACTTCAGGGCACCTGTTAACTCTACAAATGGTGTAACATGGGTACCAAGTTAAGGACTTTCCCAGTTCTCACTGGGTTACTCATGCTACAGTAACATGCCTTTGAAATAGACTTCTTCAGCCAGTTTCCTGCTATTACCATAATCCAGTCTAAAGGTGTTAATCCAGTAGCATGGTGACTTTTGCATGCACAGGGGCACTCCTGAGCTGGTGAGGTCTGATGTTTTTTTGAGCTTCTTTCACCAGCACAGGTTTCAAAGATGGCCTTATGCTCTTTGAATGTCAGATACAAAACATTCGATGACAATGGCAGCTGTGTGTAACACGTAGATTTGTTCAGTCTCTCCTTACATGTGTGCTTTCCCCCAGCTCTTTATTTTAATATACTCAGTTCTGCTATTCCATCTTCCTCCTGCTTCTGTGCTCATCCGCACTCATACTCTTTTGGGTTTTGTCATTGTTGTTAACATATGGATGTTATATGATCCCTCACTGAGTGCAGCCTTGTCCTCTTAATAAGTAGAAAATACCATACGTTCTGGAAGGAGGAATTAGCTACAGGCCATTCTCATTAAGCCTCTCCTTCAACTTAAATCAGTTTAAATTGTATTTTTGAACTGCAGTCACTATGCAGCATTGTAAGTTGAAAACAAGCACTTGAGCCCTTTCCAGAGAGGCTTTGAGTGGCCCTGATACTAGGCATGGAGGGGAGATAAGCAGCACATTGAAGTTGTAGTATCGCTGTAGCTGAGGGCGAGGAGTGCATGGAAACATACCCTCCCTCTGGCACTGCCTGGCTCTGGATGAGGGGAGAGGAGCAAGCCAAGCAGCTTGGGTTCACACATGCAGTGGGAGCCAGTGGCCTCTCAGCTGATGACAGATTAGACTCAGGGCCTGGTTAGTGGGAAGACTGTGATTAGACCTCAGCAGCATCTGTCTCTAGCACTAAAGGAATTACTGCTGCAGGCTGTGATTTTCTCAACAAACTGTAATTATACCGGGAACCTCATTCCTGCCATTTTTCTCAACAACTTAAGTGCAAAAAAAAAAATGTGGGTGAGGGTACAGGGAAGCAGAAACTGTGAAAGGAGCAGGAAAAAGACACCTGTTTATTTTTGCTCAGCTCATTCCAATTATTTTCTCTCAGTTTCTTAGATTCATATGAATCGCACACTATTTTTTTTCCTAAAGGTCAGTGACAAGGTTTAACTCCCTGAAGCTGTTCTGCCATTCACCTGAAGCTGATAGGATACATCCTCTCTGTTCACTTATGCCCCATGGCATCTTAGATGAGTGCTTACAGAAGATGCCACACCAACCTGTACTCTGGCAGTGCGCTCTCCCTCCTCCCATGGGAGCAGCGGTGTGGGTGGGGGACTGCAATCACGACTGTTCCCAGGACACCCCTGGGAAGGTATGGCCTGGGCGAAAGTGTGGAATATTGGAGATTGGGCAGGGTGAATTTGAACCTTACTTCCAAAGGCCCTGTGTAGAGAAGGATTTAAGAGTTTGAACTTTAAATGTGTTAGGTTGCATATACTAACTCTCTGCTTTAAAAGATGTAGAAAGGCAGTGTAAGTTTGAACTCCCAGTAACACCTGGTAGTTTTGCCAAAGTAACAATGTTGAAAAAAGAGGAAGATTTCTTTGCAAGATTTCTCTACCAGAAAAAAAACCTTTTTGTTTGTGCAGTTGTAACTCCATAGAAGCCCGCTTGCCATTAGCGTTTTCTTTTATCAGAATATAAGGTTCGGTTTGTTTGGGGTGTTTTCTTTTTGGTGTTTTTTTTTTGTTATTATTATTTAAATCTAGGAGAGGAAGAGAAATACCTAAGAGTAGAGTTTTCCAACACAGCTTCACCGTCTAATACGTAAAATGTAGGCAAAGTCAAAATAATTCAAACTAATCTATGTGCTCCTTTCTTAACTTTCCTCAGGGCTTTAATGTGACTGTTTCGTATACTTTAAGGCAAGAGTGTCTTGTCTATGTAAAATGATTTTACATCAACACTATACTCATCTAGAAGAAAGCAGAATTGTTCCTTACCCGTACGTCTGCCGTCCATCCTGCAGCATGTCTGGCAGCACAGCCAGGGATGAGTGTGGCAGTGGAAACTTGACCCTTGGGACTGAATGCACCCAGAGGCAGTATGCTGGCAAGCAGATCCCAGTCTCCAGAGCCAAGTCTTTGCAGATACTGGTGGGAAAGACACACATCTGGAGTTGCCTGGAATTGGCACAAATTGCTGCGGACAAAGAGGAGAGAAAGGAAGGGTTATAAGGAAAGTGGAAAGAACGCTTCTTACACATTTCGCTTTCTTTTCCATCTGCTTGTGTGATGTTGCTGTGAGCTGTTAAACAGCTGCAGTGCTGTGCCCCAGAAGGGACTGTTTCAGTAGAGATGGAGAATGATTCCTACAACTAAGTGCTTTGGGAGCCCTCTAGAATGAAAGGGGCAATAGGAATAATGTTTTTCTGACTTTTGCTAAATACACTTGGGACTGCACTACCTGAGGAAGGAGTCAGAGATGCTGGTCTTGCTTCTCAGACCTAGAGCCCCTGGCAGGCAGTGGGTATTGCTGGGTGTTTCTGACTCATCCTTTGCACAGGAGGTGAATCCCTTGTCCATTGCCTCCCAAGCAGAACGTGCCAGCTCTCCCATGCTGGTTCAAGGAGAGCAGATTACGCAAGCAAAAGGTGTTTGCAGACTGTGAGACTTTGTAGCTTGGGGAGATAAGGGTAGAGGAGGAGGAGGAATGAATGTATTGTGATTGCCAAGGACGGAGCAGAAGAGCATTTATTTTTTTTTTTGCATCCATTCAGACGCTCAGCTATTTCCTGCGTTGTTCCTGCAGTCAGCATGCTCCACCTGCTTTTACTTAACCATTTCCTGTTTATGGCTTCCAAAAACTTTCTGGTTAAATCACTGATCTGCCACAAGATCAGTCTTACAGTCCCTTTTGGGCAGGCTTCACTGACTTCTTTTCCTCTCTCTTCAGTACACAGACATTTCAGCCCAAGGACCTGTTGTGTGTGCATGCAGTCAGTAGCTGTGGCAGGAAAGTATGTGCTTCCTCAGTATTCTTTATGTCTCCATATGCCCTTTTTTTGCTTCTAATGCTTGCCACTTTTAGCAAATGTTGACAATGAAATGAGCAGTAGTACTGAAGGCACATTCCCCTTTCTGTAGCATAGAGGGCTCCAGATGAGAAAAGACTCTTCCCTTTACTTTCAAGCTCTTAAGAGCTCTCCCACAAACAAGGAATTTATTTCTTGAATAGCTTGCCCAAGCTTTGAGAACAGCGGGGCAATTTGTTCTAATCTGTGGTTCAGTTTCTCAAATGTGAATGGCAAGGTGTGAGGAGCAGGAAGGATCAACCAAACTAAAAATAAATCTCTTCCTTGAAGTGTAGATGGCTCCCAAGAGTCCCTATCGCACACTTAGTCACACGTCTTGTAGAAATCACTAGAAAAGCATGCATACTTCAAGCCTCCTCTCCTTAGCCATGCTATAGATAACACTGCAGCCACCACTAAAATAAAACTTATTTGTCACTGCTTTTGCTGTTTGTTTACTTTTTTATTTCTCCTCTGGAGCAGTGAAAATAGATTCTTCGGTTTCCCTCCCTGATTCTCATGCTCTTGCACAGTGCTGCAATGTTTGGGTTGCGGTGAGCACTGCAGGGGAATGTTCCCTTCTTAAAATAAATCCTGGAAACATTTCTGTTGGAATCAGGATTTGTAGAAGTTGGGGTGGTTTTTTTTGTTTTTTTTTGTTTTTAATAAGAAGAATGTTTGGTCAACTTTGACCTGACACCATATCCCTTTAAAGGGAACAGGTTTGTGGTGCATGTCAGTATAGATATACTGACATGTATATATGTATGTGTGCATGCGTGTGTGTCATAACAGGATACATAACAGTTATACTGGTATAACTGAGCACTGAAATCATCCTCTAAGAATGCTGGATATGTCTGCCCTGTCTCCAGCAGACAGATCTGCAAACACCTTAACTAGGCCTACTGAAAGTTAGCATAAGCCAGGATGCTTAGTCTGCTGACTTAGGCATGGGAGGGACAGGTCTATAAGCATTCACTGGCATTGTCACTAAGCTGTTTCACACTCCTGCAATTATGTTGATGGGCTCACATGAACATTTCTAGGTATTTGAAAAATAACACTAGACAGCCCCCATTTTAACTGTAACATAAATATGAACAGGTAGTACTTCAGTATGGTTTGGGCATTGCTGATGTCCAGGCAACTGTCTGCTGTAGGCATAGCACAACCCCGCTTAGATCAGAGTTTGCTGAGGTATCCTTCAAGCTGCCTCTGAGCAGCTTTTGAACTTTCTTTTTAATCAGGAAAAGGAAGCAGCTATTTTCTGCATAGAAGTGTCTTTCAGATTGGCCCAAGTATGTAAAATGGTTATTTTGGGTCACATCCAGCCCAATTCATTCAATAGTTTGTGTCAGGGTACTTGTCACCAGTGGCATTTGCCCAGGGTGAGTCACACCCACCCAGGCAGTCATCTGAGAAAGCTCTCAACTCTTTTTCATTTTCATTTTACAGGGTACAGCCTAGTAAATTCATTACTGTATTGTACCACACAGCTCTTCCTACAGCAGCAGCTTTTCTTCTAACCAGCATTCAGCCCGAGAGGCAGCTACTTCCAGAAAAGACTTTCTGGTTCAGTGCCCGTCTTTGTTTTCCAGATGTTTCTTTTACCACACTGCTTTCCAGTTACACTGCAAATGTGGGTGCACTCAAGATATTTTTGCCTCCTGCCTCCACCCCAAAAATGGAAGAAAGCTGAATGATACAAAAATGTAGCAAGAATGAGACCCTCGAGGAAAATGGCAGGGAGGTGTAGAGGACCGCGCAGGACTCTTTCCAGGAAATGGGTAGAAGGTTCATCACATGAGTCACTGAAACCTTAGATGACTAAATTCTTGAAGAATAAACTGTCAGGAATATGATACTGGACAGGACAGTTGCAGGGAGGGAGAAGAAAACTTCTTAAATAGCTCTTGTTTGGTTTTTTTCATGATTCATTCCTGAGGAAATTGCTGTGTGGCTGGTCAGGGACGGGGGCAGTGTGCAGGCACTGCCAGCCTGTGCAGAGGCAGCAGATGAGGCTGCTGGGGTGCACAGCCTCACCACTCCTGGCCCCAGTGCTCCTGCCAGAGGGGATCAGGAGCACCCCATGGCCAAGTGAATAAATAAGACAGAGTCACTAGTGCACATACGCCATTTGAAACAATTCACTTTGTTTTTAGTATCTCAGCAACTATGTGACCAAGAGGAAATGAAGGTATTGAAACTCTGATTCTAAGCTCCTTTTAAAACATTTTCTTTCTCTACCTGCTCCAACCAGTAAACCAGGTTGTATCAATAAAATTGGCCCAAAGCTCTGAATTTGGGTTTCAGAGAAGGTCTTAAGATTTTAGATGCCAGTAACAACAGAAGCAGTCAGACTCCCTCCACAGCCACCTCCAGAGGAGCTAAACCAGCATTAGCAGTGGCAGAAAATGTTTGCAGTAGTATTTGAGTGTGGAGAAACCCCAATGTTCCAGCATGCCGCTGCCAGTTCCCATTTTGGTGAGTTTGACCCAGAGCATTTAACATTTCAACATCAGTTCTGTGTCTCATAATGCTGTTTACATAATGACCGCTCATTTGGTTCCCATTAAAATCATGGTATTTCTTCTGCAAACCATTGCTTGTAAAAATCAAGCCACCCAGTTTTTCATTGGATTGTATTACAGGAAATAAACAGCCTGTCTGTAGGATGCATACTATAATTCTTAAGCAGAGAATAGGGGCCTTTTTTCCCCTCTTGGACGTACCAAGTTCAGAAGTAAGAATGAGAAAGATCTGTTAAGGGTTGCTGAATCCATCTCCTACAAAAACACAATGTAGTTGCTCCCCGGCAGATGTTTCTCAGATGCTATATTGATAAAGAGAGTCTACAGTTCTTCACAGAGCAGCAAGAATCATCTTAAAATTGTAGAACTGGCAGGTGTGGCTCTCACAGGTCCTCCCAGCGCCATTGCGTTTCAAGGCAGCACACAGCGGTTCCTTGTATTATATATACCTGCACTTTGAAGAATTCCGTTTCAAATGTCTCAAACAATGGGGGTTTCACCACTTCCTGTGGGAGTCTGCTCTGCAGCCTAACTCGTTCTACCATCTGGAGCATTTTCCTGAGCGTCTGCCTGCTTTTAACTTTCTTCTAATTGTGTACCCACTATTTCTTCTTAAAGGCAGCTCACCAAAATGTTCTGTCGTGTGAAATCCACGTTATGTGGTGCTTTTTTATTTTTCGGGAGGGTCAAGAAAACCTTGAAAGATTGATGGTGGCTTCTCCTCTTTGCTTTTTCTTCCTCAGAAATAATAATTAATAAATAATTAATAATGTATTACTGCTTTTCTAGCCATTCATCTCAGCAGTTTACAAGGAAGGTCAACATTGTTGTACTCTTTTTACAGATGGGAAAAGATGAAGCAGGAGGGCAGGAAACAACTTGCCCAGGATCATTCAATGCATGCATGGCAAGACTTGGATTTTTAACCAGGTCTCCACAACAGCGCCCTGCTTTTATTTTTTAACTCTCTTTTTTTTCTTTTCGACCCACTCAGGTCCCCTTGGCTTTGTTGGAGTCCTTAGGAAGAGCAAGCGTTCCATGAACTTTATTCAGCATTGTCATACTGTAACTGAAGGGTCAGCTTGTTGAATATTTAACAGTTACTATTTTTCTGATGTGTTGGTTAGGCATCCTAATTAAGTAGTGATAAAACCAAAAAAGCATTTTAAAAGACTGATTCAGTCCCTAGGGCCTCCAAGCTGAATTTCCTTCAGCAAGCATGTGTTTTCCCAGCTGCAGATTGTCCAGATTGAGCACAGTTTATATCTAGCCCATTCTTATCAGTGCATTGCAGGGAGATTTCCTTCCTTCTCAGTGCCACCATACTTGCTTCACCTGTCACATTTCCCTTAGCTGTATTTTTTGGTAAGTGTGTTTCTCAGAATCTGGACAGTTGCTGAATTATAAATCTTCCAATCTGGAACAATCACACCACGATCTGTACAACAGGATGCACTGGGTCAGAGAGAGATCGAGCACTGAACAGGCTCACCTGGGTTCCAGAAGTAGTCTGGCCTTAGCATCACAGAGCCCTCCACGGGCTGCTAGCAGGCAGGTGGTTTCTCCTACCTGCCCTAAAGTTTCTGCCTGTCCAACCTCCCATTTCAGTGAGAATTACTGGGACTAGATCCACCTGAGCACATGGTAAGACAGGTTTAGTTCCTCTGCTCCCCAGGGGAATGACCAGGGAAGGCAGCCAGAGCAATATGCTTGCAGTCTGATCAAAGGGTGTCTCGTAACTGCCCCACACTGATCAGACACTGAAGTGACAGCACCCATTATGTGGAAGGTCCAGCACTCTGCATGGATTGAGAAATGTGACATTAAAACTCTGTGTAGGCCAGAATTATATCTGAGGGACAGCACATAGATCTTCCTGGCTGCTGACCATGTTCAAAGTATATCGTAGGTGAAACCCTTGCCATCTGTGTTATTCCCCCCACTGCTCTTTCAGACTTTCTTTATTCCAGATATCATTGAGCCAGCATCTGAGGATTTACCAAAAGCTGCAAGACTGCTGTAGGTCACTGAGCACACTGTCTGTGCTTTCAGATTGAGTTTGAGAAATTACCAGCACTGTCATGCTTATGCATCCTGGCCGTGTGAATAGAGGAAGCTAAGAAGCAACAATAGATTACATAAAGCAGGGAAATCCCCCTCAAACTTCTCCAAGACTATCTCAAACTGAAGTTGATTTGCATACATACGCTACAAATAACTTCGCAATGGCTTTTAGCCACATGAAAAGGTTATATATGTTTGCCTATAATCATTTAGGCCAGTTCCAGCAGTTGCAGCTAAGCTTCCTTATACAAACCCTGTTTGGTGGAAAATGGACCTTAGTGAAAACCAGAAAAAATCTATAGTATCTTCTAGTTGAAACCTATGGCCAGCTTCTTTACAAAATCAGAGGTTCAAATGGCCTGAATTCCTGAGTGATGCTGTTTAAAAAGCATTGGTGTTAAACAGACTTCCAAAGTTCCTGTGATTTTTTTAAACATCATGATTTCATAAAAAAAAATAAGTGAGCAAGAAAAGGATAGCATATTGAAAATGCATATTTACTGGGTTATCTCAGGCTCAGAAATGTGGTTGGCTAATATGACATTACAAAAACCTTTTACAGTATCTTTGATGCACTAAGAATGACAGTGTTTATAAACCTGTTTATAAACCTATAAACATCATGACTACAGAATGCCTAAATTCTTCCTGAAGACATACGTTTTCTTTTCCCTTGCAGAGAGAGGGGGCTTTTGGGGTTTGGGGGGTTTGTTTGTTTGTTTCAATAGGATAGGAATATAAAGTTTCCAAAGGCTTGCTAAGAGCTGCTTCTTTGGAAAGAATTTGCTCACCAACTCCCTTTCCTAGCTTTCTGTTGAAACAAGTTCTCATACGCATTTTCTGCCAGCCCTCTCACAAAACTAGACAGGTCATAGACAACTGCACGGATTCTTTAGGTATCCCAGTAAATTCAAAAAAGTATGTTTTTTCCTGTATGTTTTCTGGGTTGTCAAGCCAGCTTTACACTAGAATTAACTACACTTGGCAGTAAATTCCAAGTCTGTTTTAAACAGTCTTAGAAGTGCTTTTGTCAGTATAGTGTATTTCCCTTGAGGAATTCATCAAAGGCACACTGGCAAAAGTGGGGTTTGTTCTACCTGCATTAGAGTTATCATCATTGTCAATATAGATACCAGGACAGCTGTATGAGCAACTCTTTTCTAGTGTAGCTGCTTTTCATATAGTTAACAAATAGAGCTAGAGAGGAAGAGGAAAACTGAGACACAGCTTCCCTTGACAACCTGTGTAAGCCTTGTGTTTCTTCTACAGTATCACCTCTGCTAATATTAATAATGTCATGGCCTGTTGCAGTGGAATGCCTTGCCTTTCACCCTTCTCCTTTCAGCTTTATTGACTTTCTTCAAAGCTTTGATACAGAACAATAGGAATCATGTCAGGAATGAACTGGCTCCTTTGCAGAGTCCTTCAGGCAGCTGCAGTTTCCCTGTGTTATGATGGAGCTGGTCTCAATGAGTCAGATGTAGAGAAAGGAAGAGAACTACATATTTGAATAGGCATGGGACACCTTGCAGTACAGCTGATGGTAGCAAACATAAGAACATGACATGATCTGACAGATGATTCATTGCTACCTTGGATATTTTAGTCCTGATAACTGCGTATTTCTTCAGTCTGTGTTCTTTTCATCACCTTGCAGGTTGATCAGCAAGGCTTTAATGTTGGTTTTTTTTATTATCTCCTCTCACAAATAACAGTCCATTTTCTACATAAGGTGTCTCATCACAATTATATAATAGCCTCTATTTACATAGAAAACTTTATCCCAAAGCACTTTACACGCCTGGCACTGATGAGATTAGAAAAGGAGCAGCTCATACTGGTTAGGAAGCAGGCTCTGCTCTCAGCCTATGTGTTAGTAAAGCATATAGGGTAGAACCACAGTATTTTCTATGAATACAAATTATTTTGCTAATAGTTGGAAAATATACAGGTATAAGATGTGCTCTGCTTAACTCCAGGAAATGTATTTGAACTGTAGAAAATAAGCTGATAAGAGAATATCACAGTATCACAGTATGTTAGAGATTGGAAGGGACCTCAAAAGATCATCTAGTCCAATCCCCCTGCCGGAGCAGGAACACCTAGATAATATCAGTCCTCTTGCACATACCATTCTCTCTTCATAGGCACTGACTAGAAAAAAAGTTTTACTGGAAAATTAGTGTGATACAAAGGTCTCAGCAACTATATCATGGCCTTTGGAAAGTTCTGCCAAAGAATGGCAGAGAGACCTGGACTGGTCTAAGGTTTGGCTCCAGAGCATGAGAGGCATCAGATACTTTGCCAGCCAGAATCAGGAGAGTCTGGACACTGGTAACTGGAAGGATAGCCAGAAAGAGGATCATTGCATGTAAGTCAATCCATTTTCAGCTAGTTTGTGGAATTAGTTCATACTGAAGTAATTACCTTTGATTTGTTTTGTGGATTAAAAGGATTTCCAAGTGGTGGTTCACTGGAGGAAACGGTAACTTTGTAATATCATTCTGACGTATCAGCATTGAGGTGTCTGTATTGTGTGTTTCAGATGGAAAGGATCAAACAAATCTAACCTGGGAAGGAACCAATCCTGCCCTGCAGACCATACGAGTGAGGAATACCACCTTGAAAAATCCTTTACTTGATGGTGCTTTACCCAGCACTACTGGTGAGACTCCAAGCAATACATCCTATCTATAGAAGGGACAAATGAAACGTTCATTAAGAAATGAATGAGTGACAACATCGGTTTTCAAAAATACAGTGAAGCAGACAGTGAGCATTCTTCTTCTTTTGTCTCTTTAAAGACTTAGTTAAAAACACGTGCTCTTCTTCATATGTGTGCGGCCATGGTTAACTCTGAACTTAGGAAAATCCTGTATTTTGTTCAGGTTTATTGAAGTGACATTGTAATAAAAGCCTCTGAACAACACACATGCTGCTAAAGAAGCATAGACCACATGTGCCTTCCTAATTCACCCCATTACCTCACCAATTTGGAGGAACCAACAGTCAAACATAAGAGTGCTTGGTGTCCACAGCCCATAACATAGTGAAATATTTGCTTCTGCTTTTCACAGTATCACAGTATCACAGTATGCTAGAGATTGGAAGGGACCTCAAAAGATCATCTAGTCCAATCCCCCTGCCGGAGCAGGAACACCTAGATAAGGTTACACAGGAACGTGTCCAGGCGGGTTTTGAATGTCTCCAAAGAAGGAGATTCCACAACCCCCCTGGGCAGCCTGTTCCAGTGTTCTGTCACCCTCACTGAGAAGAAGTTTCTTCTCAGGTTTAAGTGGAACCTCTTGTGTTCCAGTTCGTACCCATTTCCCCTTGTCCTTTCATTGTTTGCCACTGAGAAGAGCCTGGCTCCATCCTCGTGACACTCCCCCTTTATATATTTATATACACTAATAAGGTCACCCCTCAATGTCCTCTTCTCCAAACTATAGAGACCCAGCTCCCTCAGTCTTTCCTCATAAGGGAGATGCTCCACTCCCTTAATCATCTTAGTTGCCCTGCGCTGGACTCTCTCCAGCAGGTCCCTGTCCTTCTTAAACTGAGGGGCCCAGGACTGGACACAATATTCCAGATGAGGTCTCACCTCAGATGAGGTTTTCAAGAGAAATTATAAACCCACTCACTGGCTTGATTGACAAGCAGTAGTTAAGGGAGGTCTTATTCCTGTAACTCACTTGAAAATCTTCAGAGGTGATGTAACAGAGTTAGTAATGGCTAGGCTCTGACAGTTTAGAATGGAAGGAGAACAGGTAGCAATCCAAACGGTGGGAAGATTGGTGTGCAGTACAGCTGCTTAGCTTCCTCTGTCTTCAAAGCGCTTTTAATGTATTCACAACATGACAGCAAACCACAGAACTATTTACTCATCTTACAGACGTAGAGAATATGACTCGTTCAAGGCTGCTGAAGGCATTACTTACTGGCTGTGCTGTGATCAGGTTCAGGTTGTTCCTGGCTCTCAAGCCTCACATGCCTAAGGGAAAGCCATGGGTTCACTTAGTGTTGACTGCCAATGTACAGTCACCATTGGTCTGAGAGGCTTCTTCTGTCCTCTGCAGTCACAGGGAAAGCCTCCCAGAGCAAACTCTTGAAAAGCAGAGTAATCTGTACAGAAATACGGGAGGTCTGGAGAACTGCTGAAGGGGATCTAGGAAATCCAGCAAGAAAATCAGTTGCAGAGGGTCCACCTGTGTCAGTGAGGTGAGCAGTTTGCAATCTGCTGTTTTGTAGGCAGCCTTTGGGCAATGAGAGAGTTCCTGGGGAGCACGTGGCCCCTATTGAAAAGTACTGCATACTACTACTGTGGCAGTGCAAGAGGGTGAGAAGCTGATGGGGTGTGGCAGCTGGTGTCATGTCACTCCCAGCCACCAAACAGGATGGCATGGAGCAGGCTACTCTGCAGCTACCTACCTGCTCACGCAGCTTCAGGCTCTCCTTTAACAAGGAAATTTCCATCACAGGAAGGAAGCTACTCCATTTCAATAAGCTACTTTTAAAAGCTAATACGTTTCACCTTGGGGAAGAGCAGTTCTCCAGCTTCAGTGTTACCAGTTTTGTGCTTTGAAGAGACCTTTGTAAAAAGAAAATATTAATTTTGTTTTAACTAAAGTTTAGATTTTCTTGGCAGTGCTGCACTCCTGGCCATTCACTCAAACCCTGCTGAACTTGCTTGTAGCCATTTTATGTGGATGTCTTGTAAATATTTGGTAGAGCACTCAGACACAGAAGTGTTTCTTGCTCTTAGAGTCACATGCCTGGTTCCAGGAACTTTCAGAAGCACAAAAGGCTGAAGGCAGGGAAAATTCCACTGAGATGCATTTGAGTCTCCAGGGAGCAACTGCACGCTGTTTAGACTAAAATTTCTCATTGCTGCCTCTCCCTTTTTTAAAAACCATGCAAGGATAGAGAGGAGAAGCTGGAGGGTAGGGGTTTTTTAATATCATAAATACCAAAGTGTTTTCACTCATTTCTCTCACATTGCAGGACCATTTGCAGATGGAGAGGCAGATAAGCTTTTTAATGCTCTCTGCATACCTGGGAAATTTCCATCCAAGTTTTAAAATGTTTTATAAACATTAATGAATTAAAGCTTAATCCCCTTCTTCTCAGCCCTGTGAAGCAAGTACTAAATACAGTTTAAAGACAGGGCTAATAAACTAGGAAGGTTGTGCCTTGTCTAAAGTCACACAGGCAGCGTGGTAAAAGGGTTCAGGTCTTTGCGTCCAAGCTTTCGACCTTACACCACAAACACACATTCCGTCCCTCTTCAAGGCTTGCTGTACTTCCCCTTCTGGGATATAGTGAAAACATGCTGGCATCACACCTTGAGATAACCTTGTTTTTTCCCTAGGTACAGGGAGACTACTCATAGCTGCTGTCCCATGGGATTAAGGTGTTGAAAAGATCAGAGAGGGATGTGAGGGGAATGGGGAAGAAGCAAGTCACAGCTCTGTCTGCCTTTGGGAGTGTTCTACTTCCTCTGCTGCCAGTGAAGTTAGTGTACTATCAGGAGCAACCTCAAACATTTTTGTACGTGCTTCCATGTAATATTCAAGCAGAATGTGCTTCCATATAATATTCAGGCAGGACTGTGGTAAAAATGCCATAACCGAAAAGAGAGCTTGGCCAACAAGAAAATTGGACAGATGAGCCAGTAAGTCACTCCTGTAGTGAATATATGTGATTTCATTATCCTTCTGTATGTGACTTGCATTTCTTACTGCTGCTTATTATCAGAGTCCTGTAACTACTGCTGCAGTCATCTCTTTCACCTCTTCAGAAGAGAGGGATAATCCATCAGCCAGTTTCTCTCCAGTGGTATGAGTCAGTTTTTTTTCTAGAGGGATTAATGGTCAGTTGAAAAGAGTTGTTCCCAACAGGGCTGTGCAAAAAGCAATGTGCACATGAGTCATGAAGTGGAAGAGAAGGAAACCAATCTATAGATTTAAAGGTTTTGAATTATTTCTTTTCCCTTAGCTTACCTTGTCCACACCAATTGATAATGAGATGTGCAAAAGCTGGAAATGTATTGGCAGTGGCTGGCGTAAGCAGGACTGAGAGCTTCTCCCACTGTGCAAACAGACCTCAGGTCAGTCAGCCAAAACCAGATCAGTGTGTACCAGCTATTCCAGCCCTTGTAAGAGAGAGATGCTGTGAGAAAAGTCAGATCACAGTGCAGCAGCCCCATCCTGTCTCTCCTATGACCCTGCAGTGTATCCCAGCATTGGTACCTTTGGCCTCTTCATGCCATTACCTTTTATGACAAGGCCCCAGCTCTGGTCCTTGGGTATGCTTCTTCTATAGCACCCTTCCCTGCAGAGGATCCAGACTCACTTCAAATGCTGTGCACAGTGCTCATTTCATTCCCTGCTGAAAGGCAGCCAGGCCTGAGGTGGAACATGGCAAGCACTTCGCCACACCTGGCAATTCCATGCAGCTGCTGAAAACAAGCAGGGAAGAAAGTGGTGTACAAACGCAGGGGAATTTTCACATAGGCAGGATGTAATTAGCAGAACTGGAATTTGGCCAGAATGTTGGGGTCAAAACACTGACTTGCAGGTAACACACTGGGATCTTTCAGCATTCAAATGCTCAGGATCTCCCGTTTCCATCTTACCTGGAAGATATCAGAAGACTGTTCCCTATTTAATGTTCCTGGGAAGCTCTCGAACTTCTGACACAAAGGAAAAAGTGTCTAATGGTGCTGCACCTTCAGTGCTTCTCCAGCAACTACCAGCCATGAACAGCATCTGAAAGGATCACATCCTGACAGGACTACTGCTGCATCACAGTAAAATATGCCACAGCTGCCTTCATGCTTTGAGATTCACTTCACCCTTAACTCTCATTACTCAGTTTTGAGGCCCCAAATCCCCACCTAACAGAAAGAAAAGATGGTATAATTAGGGCAGCCCATCACACATAAAACACAAGAGAGAGAATATTACCATTAGGTGCTGCTTCAACCTCATTCTTTGCCACTTAAAATAGTACCAATTTGGTACTGGACAACAGAGAATTAGATGAAACACTTCTCTCCCCAGTGCAGATGACTGAGCTTTTCCAGCTGGCTTTGCCAGTAAACGACACAGAGCATTAAGAGTTCATTCCTGCTCCCTCCTTCCAGCAAAGAAATCACGTTCAAAGCAGCAAAACATTTTTTTCACCTTCATGATCTCACTTTCCATGTAAGCAATCTTTGTGTTTACTACGAGGATGCTGAATGTCCACAAAAGGTTAGGGAAGTCATTCATGAACTTCATGTGTGGAAAGTCCGTACAATGTTTCTACCACGATGTGGCCCACAGTCTGAAATATAAATAATTGCAAACCTTTAACCCCGTGTCTGTCAGACCTGCAGATCATGTGCAGTTCGGAGAGCTGACTTCCTCTTGTGGTGCAGTGCTTGCAAACAAAACCAGAGGTGTTCCTGCCATACAAACAAGCATAATTTCTTCATCAGTAAGTCATTGAAAAAGGACCCCTCCTATGCATGTGAGGGCTGCCCATACCAGCTTTTGGTTTGTTTAGGGTTTTTGTATGCCTAGGCTGCCATGCAAGTCCCCCTCTCTCTCAGGTGTTAATATAGCCACCAACCAAACTTGCTTAGAGCGCTTCAGTCAGTGGGGTAACAAACCTATGGACTGACTCCAATGGCAAAGTGAGCTGGTAAAGTACAGGCAGCTGCAGGCAACAGGAAATCCAGCACTAATAAATAAAACGCCTTACAGCCAGAGAGAGGAAATAAACAGCAGCAGCACAAACTGAGAGGACAGAAGAGAGGAACACAGTGTAACTGTGGTGCGGGAATCACTGCATTACAGTGAGCTTATTTCTACAGAAAGCTGTCCTGGTTTGTGTTCAGACTGCAAAAAAAAGTGGGGGAGTGGGAGGGCTGCTCAAAGAGAGGGTCTCTATCAGAAGAAGTTGTCAACAGCCACTGTAATTAAGGAAGCAGCCAGAGCACACACAACCTGAGCTGCCGCCAAAGTGAAATGAAAGCATTTTTTGTTTGCAGCCGCAGCCCCGAAGGATAATAAAAGATGGTTCTACCGTGCCAAGTGAGGAGCTGCAAGGACACCATTTCTAGATGGTGAATGCTCCCATATTTCCAAAATTACTTGCCGTGGGGAGCCAGCAAGTTACTCTTCTGCATGTGCTTTTGAAGCACGTGCCCGTGCACCCCCTCTGATAGCAGCAGGCACCTTAGAGGCCAGCCACGAGGCAGGTGAGCCCCCCACCACTGTGCTAGCAATCGAGGTGGGCTGTTCTGGCACTGCTTAGTCCAGATTGCCAATTCAGCCATCCCTTAATTTTCTGCCCTTGCACTCAGCCATGGGTAGCTGCCGCATTCGGAAGAGCTGCACCCCACTCTCCTCCCAGGGGCAGCTGTGGTTAAGAGGCTCACTGGTGCCTTGGCAAGGAGCTGTGTGCACAGCATGCCAGAACAGTGCTCTTCTTTGCTGCTGGTAGCATCTTTCACCTGGAACACCGTGGGGCCTGTGCCGGTGCAGTGGTGGAATCTGGGGTGGGCCGGCAGAGCCAAGGACTCGGCACCAAACTTTGGGAGCCTACCACAAGGCTTTCACTGGCAACTGTAGGAAGAGAAGGTTCAGCAAAGGGAAAGAAGTCATTCACAAATTGCATGCGTATTTCTGAATTCATTCATTGAGTGGCATTTGCCTTTCATCCTTCCCCTGAGCCCTGTGTGCATTGCTCACATTCTCTCCCAATCCCCTATAATAATTCCCAGGTCTCCACAAGCCACTGCCTGCCAATGGAGCCCGTGGTCCCTGGACCGGCAGCTCGGTCACATGAAAAGTTACATGCAAAGGTTTAATGCTTTCTCTTGACCCCATCCGCTCTTCCCATGAATCCCCTGCAGTGTTTTCCTAATCAGGTGTCAGGGAAGCTTTGCACTGGGCAGGGTGCTAAAAAGGTGGCTATTTAGCTGCAGCATTTCCAGAGTCTCTGAGCTCTCTCCTAAGCTGTAAATACAAGCAGTGAAGCCAGGTGAAGGTCTGACAAGGCTGCCATTTAGACCTGAAGAAAAAAAAAAAGAACTGCTGCTTTCCAACCAAATGCATGTTGCTGTCGCCCCACTTTCTCTGGCCCAGCAGCCATACTAAAGGTTACTTGCTTCAGCAGGGTATGGAATTCACCTCTTAAAGCCTATATTCAGGGCATACAGCTATGATCCAGTATAATTTTAACCTTCACTGGACTTTGCCAATGTGTTTGTTACTAGGGAATAAAAAAGAAAACAGGTATTTTCCCTAGAGCCTTTTATCACCAGATTCTAAATGATAGTGCAGGTATTTAATGCATCACACAAATAATGAAAGTGACAAAATGTTATCCTTCCTACCTGTGAGAGAAAACACGTGCTTTTGGAGAATCTCAAATGAAAGTGATTTTTTATTAAATACAGACAAAAAGCAGAAATGTTCAAAAGCTGTTTCTAATAGCCAGTGACAGTCATTTCCTTGCCTATCGCTGCAACATGAGGGAGTGCAGGTATCTCCTGCAGAAAGTTCTTGTTCTTGGCCTGATGATACCACACAGGATTTCACATGTGTGACAGCGTATGAGTCATGAATTGCAGCTTTGGAGAGCCTGGGAGTTGTGTCTGCTGTCAGGGCCCAGCGCTCATCTGGGTTTCACATGGCCCACAGAAAGATGTGCCAATTGCACCTTTGAGCCAAACAGTTGGATAATCAAACTGAGCATTTGGTTTCAGTTTTGGTTCTTTTTTTTGGAGGTGAGGGGGCAGGCCAGTTATGAACTCCAACTTATACATGCATTTTTGTGGGTTTAAGTGAAAGTCCATCTATACTGTTCTGGTTTCAGTGCCATCATTACCAACATAACTTTAAAAATTGAATAAAATCGACAGTCTTTTTCAAATTCTCTCTTCTCAAGCATTCAGAAGTGTAAGCCTGTTCTGCCTGCCTGGCTGGCTAATTGTTGCTTTGTATTTTATTGCATCGTTTAATTCTTACTTGTAAGCCTCCAAAATCATAAAATCTGAGTTCTAGTGTCAGGCTCTACACTCAACTGTAGCTACTGAAAAGTGGCATTTCTAGTTCTTAAGTATATATGGCATTTAATGTACTTTGCTTAAATAGGGTATTTCCAGCTCATTCCAAACAGGAGACTTGAGAAATCCTGCTTCTCCCAGACGAGAGCATACCTGGATAATACAGGAATGACTTTTCTCACCGAAAAGGATTAACAAAACACATACGTAAATACTGGGGTTTAATCAGCCAGTACTGCCTGTTTACTTAAAGGAAAAACTGATTCAACCCTTCAGGAGGGATTCAAACTACCTATGAGAATGGAAGTAGGTCTAAGCACACCAACAGTAACATGCTTGTAGAAGGAAATACAAGTTGGTGATGTCTGTGCCTGTGATCAGCTGGCATTGCCTACCCTGCAACATGACAGCCTGGAGACATGCAGAAGGATTTTCCATTTCTGAAGCACAGTGAAATGGGGAGACAGGTGATCACAGAATTGTCTTTTCTTCTATGAAGTACCGTCTTCAGGATTCTGCTTGACATTCATTCAGTCAAATATTTTGACCATGAACAAACAAGCAGAAAATGGTTTTGATTTTTGACCCTGGTCAGCCATCTGCGAAGAAGAGTAAGTAGTGCAGCATGTGCCATGTCTCTGAAATACCCTTCCT